TTAAATAGAGTAATCATCTATTCATTTCTGACACCCATTTAACAAATGGAGTTTTTCCCCTTCAATAAAATATCTATCAATCTTATTCTAGTTGAAGAAAACATATACATTAAGATTTATTGTCATTTGGTTTTTTATTAGAATGTATTAATATGACATTTTCATACATGCATGTAATGTATTTTTATTATATTCACCTATTACCCCTCCCATTCCTACTGATCCTCTTTCTCATTCCAACTAGTCCCCCTTCTGTCTTAATATCTTTAATTAATTTATTTATTGGTGACACAAATATTTTCATAGGGGTTTTGTATAAGCATAGATAAGGGATTTATAAGGGGCTAGGTACCTTACCAGTGGCTACACCACTAAAGAAAAATGTTTTCCCTCCCCAAACAGCCGTTAACTGCCTATAGATCTTCCAAGAGGGGTTAAGCTTCATGAACCTCTTCCCATTCTATAACAGGATATTGACAGGCCCAGTCCTGTGCAGGTGTTCTATAAGTAGTCACAGCTAAGATCCTGAGTATAGTGGGCATGCCCAGAAGACTAATGTTCCACAACACTCACACTCGACCCCTGCTTGCTTTCTCCTCCTCCTCCCCCTCCTCCTCCTCCTCCTCCTCCTCCTCCTCCTGCTCCTCCTCCTCCCCCTCCTCCTCCTCCTCCTCCTCCCCCTCCTCCTCCTCCTTCTCCTCCTCTTCCTCCTCCTGCTCCTCCTCCTCCTCCTTCTCCTTCTCCTCCTCTTTTCATATTTCTTTCCTCCTCCTCCTCCTCTTCTACTTCCTTTCCTCCTCTTCTTCCTCTTCTGCCTCTTTCTTCTCTTTTGAGACAAGGTTTTTCTACATAGCCTTCCTGGAATTCACTCTGTCAACCAGGCTGGCCTTGAACTCAGAGATCCATCTGCCTCTGCCTCCTGAGTGCTGGGATTAAAGGCGTGCTGCACCACCACCTGGCTCTTTCTTTCTACCTCCTCTTCCACAGTGTTCCTTGAGCTTCAGATAGAGTAATATAGAAGGGATAGAACATTAAGAATGCTATATTAGGCTTACTCATTGTGAGCTCTTTTATGCATCTAGCAGTTATTGAAGAAGGCAGCCAGACATGCCTTCAGGGCAGAGGTCTGGGCTAGAGATATAGATTGGCAGTCAGGACTTGACAGGGAAAGTATGGGGACCGAGACATGGCAAGACAAGACCAGTGACTGAGGTACTTCCACATTTAGAGGCTGAAGTTTCTTTTTCTTGAAGCACCCCAGGCCATTTGACTTAAGAACCTCAAATTGTTTTTAATCTTACTTTTTTTCCCCGTTTCACAACTTTGTAAGGCCCAGTTCTTTTTACCAAGTTATATATGTGTACTGGCTAGTTTTTATATCAACTTGCCACAAGCTAGAGTCATTCGGGAAGAAAGAACACCATTTGAGACAATGCCCCAACCAGATTGGCCTGTGGGCAAGCCTGTAGCACATTTTCTTGATTGATGATTGATGTGGGAGGGCCCATCTCACTGTGTGTGGTGTCACCTTTGGACCTGTTATTTAAAAAAAAAAAAAAAAAAAAGCAGACTGAATAAACCATGGGATGCAGGTCAGTAAGCAACATTCCTCCGTGACCCCTGATTCAGTTCCTGTCTCTAGGTTTCTGCCTTGAGTTCCTGCCTAACTTCCTTTGATAATGGATTGTGACCTAAGAGTTGTAAGCTACAATAAACTGTTTCCTCCCCAAATTGCTTTTGGTCATGGTGTTTTGTCATAGCAGTACTAACCCTAACTGAGATAGTATGGTAGAATTATGTGATGAAATCACTGACTATATTAACATGATGGGTGGTAATGGAGACTCTGGAGTCAGAAGGGGTGTGTATGGACCCTGGGTTTACTATTTACTAGCTTACTAACCTGGAGTAGTTTACCCAGTTGTTTCTCTAAGCTTCAGTCGTCATGTTTAGTAATAAAAATAATAGTCATAATTTATTTAATACTATATGCTTAAAACTGTTGCATGTCCTTTTCCTATATTAACTTAATAGATAGAACAATTACTCTTTAAGGTAATTTCTAACTTTATTCCACTTTGTTAAGGAAACTGAAGTTTAAACATCTTTTGGTTTGCCAAACATTACACACCTGGGAAACAGCAAGCTGGACATCACATAGGCCATCGGCCTCTAGAAGCAGTGCTGCTTTTCTAATATCTAATTCAAACCTGTGTCTGGAATTAGAGGAGATCATCCACTTAAAGTGCTTGGTAGGTCAGTAAAGCCTGACATATGTGTCTATAGTAAACATTACCTTTTGGAGATAGCATAGTAGGTAAAGGAAAAAGATGAGACGGGGATCAATGGAACTTCCTGGACAGCCAGTATAGCCAATTAGTGAGCTCCAGGTTCAGTGAGAGTCCCTCAGTCAAAAACAAAGTGAAGCAATTCCAGCCTTCATATGCACATGAAGCCACCATGTTCATATGCCCGTACACTCAAACACACACAAAGCACACACTAAAGTAAGTCTTAGGATTTCAGCCTGATTATAAGAGCAGCTATCAAGAGTTTCTTGCCTTCTCTGAACTTCAGTTTTGTCTTTTACACAACAAAGCTTTGAGTAGTTCACCTCCGCGTTCCTTTTCAATGTAAAACTCAAATCTATGACTTCCAAGAATATTGAAACAAACTGTTGTCTTGAATTTGGATGGGGAAGGAGATCCACATCACCTTGGGTGTCAAGGAATGAGACTCCTTGCTATTGCCTTGCTAACATGTATCTTGCCCTTCTACTCCTAAAGATGCTTGCTAGTAGGTAATGAAACAAAGAGCTATAAGATATACGGCTAAAAAATATTAGGTGGAACTTGGTGAATCCTGTGGAAGAGGGGAGGAAGAATTGTAGGAGACACAGAGTCCAAGGACACCAAAGAGAACCCTCAGAATCAACTAACTCAGGCTCATAGGACCTTACAGAGCCTGAACCAACGATCACAGAGCCTGCATGGGTCTGACTTAAGCCCTTTGCATATATGTTGTGATTGTGTAGTTTGGTCTTCTTGCTAGACTCCTAATAGTAGAGAGAACTGTAGGAAACTGTAGTTCTTCTAATAGTGAGAACTGTCTCTGACTCTTTTGCCTCCTTTTGGGACCCTTTTCCTCCTAGTTGTTAGAGTTATTTTTATAAAACTGTGTTTGTTTCTTTTAGTTTCTCTCTTAACCTGGCTATCACACAAATAATTGAGACTCTTATATTTGTTTAATAATAAGCGTCACAGCACAATAACTGAGCAGTTATTATTCTATTTTTAACCCTCTAAGCTAATTTGGCATCCTCCCAGGGTGCATCCCAGCATACTTGCAGTTGTAGCTTTCCTGACCCAGTTCCTTCTCCTGATGTCTCTCTTGGACCTCTCCTGTGGCTCAGTTCCCTACTTCTTCCTCTAACTCCTTCTTCCCTGGCTAGCAGGAAGTCCAGCTCTATTCTCTCTCCTGCTCAGTACCTGGCTGTAAGCTGGGGTTTTTTGGTCATATCAGGGAGCAAGTGGGGAACAGTGTTTATACAACACTGAGACAGAAGATTCTTAGAGCAAGGATTACAATATGGGGGGTACAGATGTGGGGGGTACAGCAATCAGCATTTGAATTACATAATAATCTTATGCCTGCACCTACTGGATTGCTTCATCCAGCCTTAATATGAGGGGAAATACCTAGTCTTATTGCAACTTGACAGGCTGTGTTTGGTTGACATTCCTGGAGGCCTGACCTTTTCTGAAAGAAAGCAGAAGAGGAGTGGTTGGAGGGTGTGGGTGGGGGCAGAGAGTTGTGGTTGGGGATGTACTATATGAGATAATAAATTTTTTTAAGATATAGGGCAAACCATCACATATTGAAATCTGTCCCCACCACACTCCTGTAACCTTGTGGACAACCTGCTACTCTATTCCCATTTCATCTTCTCTAAACTGGGAATAAATCATTGTGTCTGCCTTATGTTATTTCAAATTTTAATGACATGTGAAGTGGATTCAGTATGCACTGGCTATTGTGCTGATACCCTTATATGGTATATGGCTGAAAGGATTCTTTAGCTCTTCGAGTTCCAAATGAGATAGAAGATTCTCAGTGACCCTTTCTTTAAAAATGGAGTTGAAAGCCAGGTGTGGTGGCACACATCTGTAATCCTAGCACTCAGGGAGGCAGAGGCAGGCAGATCTCTGTGAGTACAAGGCTGTCTTGGTCTATAAAGCAAGTCTAGCCAAGGCTACACAAAGAAACCTGTTTCTGGGGTGGGGTGGGGGGGTTGTGAGGGAGACAAGGAAGTCAAAAAGTATGCATGCATGTGTGACTGTCTTCAGAGAGCCACAGAAAAATTAAAATAGTGTTAATTTATACTAAGTGATTTACTTGTGTATTAGACTTATAAATTGACTTAATCAACTTTTTTTCTATTAGATCCTCGTTTATCATCTACTACCTACATCACTTCGAACTATTTGCTCATCCTATCTTGTATGTCTTGGATTTATGAAGGAAAGTGTTGGCGGCATTATGGTAATAGTTGTCTTAGAGTCAGAAGATTGGTGTCGAGAGACCTTGTTGAACTGCTTGTTTGCTGCCTTACCTAGGATAAACTTAGATTCTCTCCAAAGGGCCGTCTTTCCTTCATCTGTCTAATGAGCCGTTTCTCCTGTTTGTTTGTTTGTTTGTTTGTTTGAGACAGGGTTTCTCTTTGTAGACTTGGCTGTCCTGGACTCATTCTGTAGACCAGGCTGGTCTCCAAACTCACAGAGATCTGCCCCTGCCCCTGCCCCCTGAGTACTGGGATTAAAGGCATGTACCACCACCACCCGGCTTTCCTGTCCAGTTTTTAAATGTTCTTCTAGGGCCTTTGATTCTGTGAATGTCATAGCATAGCGGTAGCAGGAATAGCTAGCTGCCACAGGGAGAATTTGGTGTCACCTTGCCCTTGAGTTCATTTTTAAGGCTGTTGTCCATTATGTTTACTGCAGGCTTTCGGCTGAATGCCTCCTCTTGGCCCATGTTCCTTTTGAAGACACTAAATGGAGCAGAGATGGCTCCCATCAAGATTTTCCATAAGGTATACTGCCTCTCAGCTGTCACTACCTGCAAGTTTCTTAAGATCAAATACTTGTCTTCTGTCAATTACTGAGCCTCTGCTGTCTCTTTTATTTCAATGGCATGAGAATGTTGCTAAAAAACTAGTTCAGTAGAAAATTTAAAAACCTATGAAGTAGATTTATCTTCAGAGAATTGTATTAGACGTTAATAGTGAGACAGGATTCCTGTTTGGGGGTTGTAGCTGCCAGTGACAAGATAATCTAATAATATCTTTTTTTAATTTTACCTGCAAAGTGAGCTTTTAACAGGCTTGTTAAGAAATTAAGGTGTGTTTATTAGAACTCTGAAATATAAAACAAACCTAAAGGAATAATTTTTACAAAGTTCTGTAGTCTGTGTTCTAAATAGGGAAAAATGAAGGTGACTGTTATTTAATTATCTGTAATATGTTTGTAGCCTTGCACTTATTATGCATTTAGTACCTGCATCTGGCATACACACACACACACATATATATATATATATATATAATTATTCAACTCAATAATTAAGGAAACATACTTTAAATTTTAAAATTATATTTATTTATTTGTTTGTTTATGTGTATGGGTGTTTTGCCTATGTTAATACGTTTGTACCATGTGCATGCCTGATGCCCATGAAGGCCAGAAGTGGGGCGTCAGAATCCCTGGAACTAGAGTTACAGATGGTTGTGAAGCACCACGTCGGTGCTGGGAGCCAAACCTGAAAGAGCAGCTGGTGTTCTTACCTGCTGAGCTAGCTCTCCAGTCCCCAGGAAGCAGGCTTCTGAGAAAGGAACTTGCTCAAGATCATGTAGTTAGTAAGGGACAGAACAGGGATGGGTAACCTGTGTTTATTCTTTCTGTGCCTCAAAAGGAGAGAATGTCAGCCTGCTGGCAGTTGACTTCTCCAATGGGGTGAGAGTTAGTGTAGAAATGACTGAGTTAGACATGCCTGTGCTGCTAGTTAAATCTAAATCATGAGAACGCTCTTGTTTCCAAATATATTAGGCCACTTGAAACCTCTTTCAATGAGAAATACCTCTAACTGTGAGGTAGGTATGTGGGGAATAGCCAACAATATTCTCTTTGGTGCTTTGTAGAACTTACTAGAGAGTAAAACATACGTGCTAAATGCATAGCTGTCTTGGGGCTCTGCCAATCTTACTTTATAGAATCTTGCTTTTATATACTTATGATAAAACACAAGATGAAGCTTGGACCCATGCCAGGAAGAAAGTAGATTAGAGCCTGGCCATATCTATTAAACTTTAGCTCTCAGTGAAAAGATTATGAGATTTCTAAGGAAGCGACTCTGGGAAAGGGTAGGATGCAGCCACCTCGGATTAGGCTTCTCCCTGTGGGTGGGTTGTCTAGGGACTTCACATTGTATGAAGGTATGGCTAGGTACCTGGCAGAGCAAACCCAAAAGCTCTCTAGGTGATTTGATATCACAGTGATTGAGTGAAGGACTGCTGAGAATGAGCCCTGAGTTCTGCCTTAGAAAGCCCTAAGAAACTTTCAAAACAAACCTTACATGATACAAACATAATAAACATCACACATCCCAAGTAGTTTCCGAGAGTACAAATATCAGCCAAGGGTGTAGCCTAAGTATTTTGCCTACGAAAATAGAAGAAGAAATAGAAAACAACATTTTGATTTTTTAACTTATCTTTACATATTTATTTTGTGGGGAGGGGTACATGCCACAGCATACATATATGGAGGTCAGAAGACAACTTACAGGAGCGGCTCTCTCCTACTCTTCGGCTCCTAGGAAGGAAACTCAGCTTACGTGGGACTTGAATTATCAGGCTTGTCAGCAAGTGTCTTTAACCACTGAGCCATTTAACTGGCACAAAACACCATTTTTTAAGTGCTACATTTTAAAAAGGTCCAAACTGAACATCTGAAAAGAGAAAGAGAGAGAGGAAGAGAACATAAGAGATAGAACCAGGTAAACTTATATCAAGATAAAATTGATATAAAGTATACTGAAGTCAGACAAATATGTTGATACTAAAAAAGCATTAAAGAAGTCAATAGGTGATGATTAAAAAGTAACACATCTCCAAGAAACAAAGCAGTTATCATACATGAGCTTCTGAAAAATAACCTCAGGGTACATGAAGGAAAAAAAAGATAATCAATGGTGATATGGGAATTCTTTCGCTAGGAAAATGTAGCAGTGTCTAGCCTTTTCTTATAAGAGCCAATGACAAAGCCAAGTTCAGCACAGGAATCCAGTGAGTTCATTGGACATAGAGAACATGGGTTACCTCATAGCAGCTGCACTGGAAAATCTTCATCCAGCATGGATGATGGCTTCCCCATCACATAGGTAGGTGGAGCCCTTCTCTCCAGTTAGCCTTCCCCAGCCTATGTACTCTAGTACCTCACGAGACCCTAAGACTGTATGCATTTATGGAAAAAATGTATACAAATGACTGGGATGTACAGGAGGGAGCAGCCAAATCTCAGGAGAGGATCCAGTGACCCTCCCTCTGCCCTCCTTCTCTAAGAAACATAAACGGGTTGCTAGTGGTGTTGTGTTGTAAGCAGACACAGCCTCTCTGATGAAGATGGCAGCTGCTTTGCTCTGAGGGCCTCTTTCGACAAAACAACAAAACTGGAAAACCTACAATCAGTCGGAATACTTCCTGTATATCACTCAGGAATTATAAATAAACCAGGAAAAAATTCATATATCAACAGTATTGCCGGTCAACTTTTAAAGCATCATTCATTCCTACTTTATAGAAATGAATTGCTTGATAATACAATTTTTTTAAATACCATTCATGATATCCATTCGTGGAACATTAATATACCTAGAACAAATGTTAGTAAGTAGCATGAGGGGCTGTTAAGATAGGTCAGTGGGTGTAGGGTGCTCACTGCCAAGCCTGACAACCCGATTCTATCCTTGGGACCCACATGGTAGAAGGAGTCAACTCCCATAATTTGGGCTTTAACTACATGTATGCCATAGCACATACCTCCACATACCCACACACTAAATAAATAAATGTAACAAAAAATTTAAAGCATGATATATTTATAGAGGAGATTTAAATTTTGTATAAAGGAGAAATCTGTATTAAAGAAGTTTTAAATGGGAAAAGGTGATCATGTGCATAGATAAGGTTTAATGTTGTCAGTAATAAAGGTTATTTCTTCCTAAATCAATCTATAAATGCATTAGAGTTCCAGTCAGGATCCAAAAATGGTTTTTCTGTCTAACTTGAAAAGCTGATTAATTCATTTGGAAGATGAAGAAAAAAGGACAACTCAAAATAATGCTGAAGAACGACAAAGTGGAGGGCACTTCTCACTAGTGTCATTTACTAGGAGAAGAGAACAGAGTGGACTGTGAATTTATTGAAAGTTTAATCTATGTAGCTACCTCACAGATTAGAGGCTGATATTTCTGTTTCTCATCTAGGAGCCACCATCACCTTCCCACAACTTCTTCAAAATGGGGATGAAGTTAGAAGCTGTAGACAGAAAGAACCCGCATTTCATTTGCCCAGCCACTATTGGAGAAGTTCGGGGCTCAGAGGTGCTTGTCACTTTTGATGGGTGGCGAGGAGCATTTGACTACTGGTGCCGCTTTGACTCCCGGGATATCTTTCCTGTGGGCTGGTGTTCTTTGACTGGAGATAACCTGCAGCCACCTGGCACCAAAGGTAAAGAGCTACCCTTAGTCCCCTGAAACCAGAGTTCAGATGGTGAGAGAAATCCCCCAGGTCTGTTGTGCTCAATATGTCTTTACTAGCAAGCTTCCTTGTAAGCAAGGGAAGAATTAGGGCTGGCTCCTTACGTACAAACAAGGGCTTCTGGGATGTTTCACTAGCAGTTCAGAATAGGATCAGATGAAGCCAGACATGAAATTTGGGATAAAGTAGAAATTCTTTATTCTAAATATCCCAATTTATTCTCAGGCAACTCTGGCTTTTGCCCTAACCCATTTTAAAGTTTGTCATTCTCAAGACAAATGTTTCCTTCAAGCCTTGGAAATTGTGTAATGAGCTGGGAAACACTGTTGATGAGCATGTAAGAAATACGTAACAGAATGGACAAAGTAGAGCTGTAGCATTGCCCATCACCAGCAGTTAATTCACCTATCTAAATCTCAAATTTCCATGTATAAAAGAACACCTACTTCAAAAATTCTTGAAAGAAATAAATGAAATAATGTGGACAAAATGCCCATGTGTGAAAAATAGCAAGCTCCAAGACAATTTCTATTGTATTTCTGTGGCTATTATTATAGCTATGTGCTATATTTACTATTACTATGCTATACATGTTATACTAGATTATAATTGTATTACATCAGCATATTATAATACCATAAAATTAAACACTACAAATGGGGGAGTATAGTATCACTTCGTACTAAATGAAACATAAACAATACTTCTAATATTGATAGTGGAGATCATCTGTTAATCCCACAGATGTGAGGAAGAAGACCACTCACCCGTATCATGGCCAGCCAAATTAGTTAAAGTGAGCTTTTTTTTTTTTTTCACTCTTGTACACAATGTTGTCTCTCCTTAAAGACAGGTTTCAAGAGATCAGCATCGAGGCTGGAGAGATGGCTCAGTGGTTAAGAACACTGCCTGCTCTTCCAGAAGACTCAGGTGCAATTCCCAGCACCCACATGGCAGCTCACAACTGTCTGTAACTTCAGTTCCAGGTGATCTGTCATCCTCATACCAATGCACATAAAATAAAATTAAATAAGTTATGTTTTTAAAAGATATCAGCATTGGACAAGGGTGAGATAAGAGTTTTTATAGTTGAGGAGTAGGGTGTTTCCAAATGGAGGATTTGGTAGGCAAATAGGAAAGGGTTACAAAAGCAGAACATAGACATAACAAGTTGATCATAATAACCTCCTGAAACAAAGGCATGGTCACAAGGTGATCATAATAACCTCTGAAACAAAGGCACACTTTCCATTTCCTGGAATAGACAGAGTACAGAACCATTTGTAGTTGAGGTTACAGGTGGAGCATAGCCCTATTCTTGAGAAACAAAGATTTAATCATAAACAGGAATGAATCTACTGTGTCTTTTCTATAAGATGGCTTTCAAGCTCAAGATGGAAGTAGGCTGATTTATCACATTCAAGAGATTTTTGAGATACTCTTAGTAGCAAAAATAATAACCTCTCTATCTTAAGTCTAAAGCATACCAGTGAATCTGAAAGAATGGAAAATTACCCTGTTGTTTCAGAATTTCTTTTCTAAACATTAATAGAATGCATCCATTAATTAACTGAATATTTATTGAATGTCTAACTAAGCCAAGCTGAGAATTTATTGTGATACAAATAGAATCTTCTACTTTTATGGCACCTCTATTCTAGTCTGTGAGACAGATGTAAGTATTTGTAATAAATCAGGGAATAAGGTCATTTTAGTGGCTAGAGATATATCATAAGTTCAGTGGTAGAATATGTGCCATCGCGTGAGTGAGGTCCTGGCTTCAATCGTCAACACATACAAAGAAGGTCACATTTTAATGAATATTTTGAAAAATTGTAACATAAATATGCATCCTTGGTACTATTACTGTCATCAAAATAATGACTGTGTCTGTCATCCCCCCAGAGTTCATTTTTGGAGGGGATCTTCTGTACTGAGAATTTCCTTTCAGGAAAATTTGTGAAATTTTAAATTGAAACCTAGGAGTTAAGAAGCAGCCATTTAGGGAAAGGGAATACAAGCACCAGACAGAGCCGCGACACAGCGCCGCTAATAACATGCACGAGCAAAGTGAAGGTGCTCTTAGTGGCTTATATAGGCTGCAGAGGGAGGTGGTGTGCAGAGGGGCTGTAGGGGCAGGCGGTGGCCTGATTGTGTGGCCTTATGAGCAGAGTGGCAGTTTGGGGCTTTGCTCTAAATCATCAGGGAACTACATAGGAATGCCGATGCTTTCAAATTGTTGTCTAAAAATATGCTGGGTTATAGTCATGCCTGCTCTGATACATGAGCCTGGCCACAGCTCAGACGTGCCTACCAGGAGTGAGGAGATTTGATTTACTGTTGGAAATTACTTTCTAAAACATAAAAGAACGCTTATAGTTCAGCAATAGAAAAGGTAAATAACCCTATTTTAAAATAGGCAAGATGTCCATTAAAAATGAAATGATAAAAGAAATACATATGTAAAATATTGGGTAGGTTGTAAAATATTTGTAGGTTGGAGATTAGGAAAAGTTCTGTGGGGAGGGATTAAGGGAAACACGGCAATAATGTCATACTTGCAGCAAGTAAGCAGAAGGTGTGACTATGAGGGGCAAGAAAACCAGCAAAAGGGGATGTAGGAGTGCTATGGGGGAAAGGGAATAACTAAGAAAGTATAATCATATACACGCATGCAAATGCCATACTGAAACCCGTTACTTTGTATACTAACATAAAAAGGCAAATTATTTTGGTAGATATTTCTCCAGAGAATATATAAAAACAGCCAATAAAGCCTTGGAAAGATGGTCAGCATCATTCATCATTTGGGAAATGCTAATCACAGTGCAATACCACTGTACACCCACCATGTAGCTGAGACCAAAACATAGTCATCTGTGTGGGAGAAGATGTAGAGCAGCTAGACTCTTCATACATTGCTGGTAAGGTTGTAAAGTGATGCAGACACATTAGGAAACAGTTTGCAAGTTACAATGGATGGATGTAGTCACTATATGACCCAGAATTTCCACTCAGGAATATGCTCTCCAAAATACAGAAAACATATCCCTATAAAACATGAGTGTCTTAGCAGCACTGTTTGGTATAGCCCAAACGTTGAAACAGCTTTAATGTTCATCAGCCAAGGAACACATAAATAAAATTCAGTATATCTACTTAATAAAATATTACTTGGCAACAAAAAAGGAATGAATTGCTGATTATACTACAACAGAGCTATACCAATTGTGTTAAGTGAGATGAGATGAGAATGGCTTGGTTTTAGTTAGTGATGCTGAGGTAGCGGGATCTTGGAGCAAGGTAAGAAAAAACATGCTTTTTACTCTCAGTGTGACTCTTTTATATGCTGCAAGAAACATGTCTTGGATCAGAGTAAGAAATTTATTGCCATTCCTGACTTGCCTGCAAGGGTCTGCACAGCAGCAAATGCCTTGGAACTGATGGTGGAATCATTTTTGTTTACTTAAGGCTAAAACCAGAAAAGCTCTGTTCTCCAGGTTTTATTCAGAAGTAGGATAGACTGATTTCATACTTTCTTGTCTAGAAAGTTCTGTTCTGTTACTGGAAAATCTTAGACCAGTGAGGCCACTGAGCCAAAAGAGCTTAGAGGTTGTATCTAGCCTCTGCTAGCCACACATCCCTTTCTGACTGCATCCATGCTGATAAGAAGTGTGACTCACTGTGTGGCTGATGCTTCCAGGGGAGTGGACTGGCTAGTGGCTGCTCTCATGTGGCTTTCAGAAAACCATAGAATTTCAATGATAGGTGGCCAAAAAAGAGCAGGCTCAGAGGACAGATACCCTCTTCCACAACATTTCCAGGAATTCCTCTTTCCCTCAGTAACACTTCTGTCCCCCACCCCCTCCTGCATTAGTAGGTCCCAAAGTGAGAGGTTTAGCAAGCTTCCAGCCCTGACTAGGAAGCAAGTGACACAATGTGGAAGGAATGTGATTATGCAATCCATTTCACAAAACAAGATGTTTCTGTATATAAGCCTGTTCCCTTTCTGATTATAACGTCTCCTCCATCTTTCCTACCTTCTGGTCATTAGTATGCAACGATTAAAAATTCAAAGTAAAATAGGAATGTTTCTTGCTGTGGTACGAAAAAGTAATGTTTACTTAATGTTCTTTCACACATATTGTTTCATTTTATTTTCTGTGTAACTCTAAATTAGGCACAGTTATTTTCAGATATATTTTACTTCTGAGAAAACTGAAGCTTAAAGTGACTTGATATGTGGTGTATGAGTCCACAGGGAGAGGCAGCTAGCAGGCCAGTACACTGAGCACACTGCCCTGATACATCATCCCCACACGTTACCGCAGCCTCTAATTCCCCTTCACGGGCCTGTACTTTTCAAAGCTTCATTTGAGATCATGGATTTGAGCTTCCAGGTCCTGGTAAGAATTAGGAAAGAGAGTATTTATGCTAACAGACCTCTAAAGTAGGTTCTAGGCTCAGTGAGAGCACATGGCTATTTTGTCTTTAAGCAAATACTTCTGAATGTGAGAGGGTTAACTAGGATATTGAAGAGCCTTAGTCTCTAGAAGTCCCATGTATTAATATTCTTGGGAACAGATAACAAATGACTCATGACTTTGTCTCCTACTTGATTCCAGACAGTAAGCTCCCCTACTACTCAGCTCTGTCTATGTAAACAGAATTGTATATGCTGTTCAGTCTCTCTTTCTCTCCTTTACTAAGCCAGGCATATGCCTGTTAGTTCCTAAACTCATGGCAGCAGCTACCAAGTAGCCAGCTAATTCAGGATTCTTGGCCATAAAAAGCAAAAGCTTTTATTTATTTCTTTAGCTTATCATTTTTAAGTGGCACAGAACTAAAATAGTGCATGCTTAATTTTTAAATGTAAAAAGGAAAGGAAAGAATTCATCATACCTGGCATACTGTGATGCTGATCAGACCTTCAGTTATCATAAGTCATTTAACATCCCCTTGCTTTGATT